CACCCCTGCGCACCAAACGCCGTGGTGCCGAAAGGCTCATCTGCCGGCACGATCTTGGCTCAACCATCTCTTGCATCCATTTGTTTGGTTGACGAAGCCCCTCAGGAAGCTGCTGGACCGCTCCAACGGCTGACTACACTCGCCATGCGGAAGCAATTATGAGATCTAAAGCAGAGCTTGCAACCATGGCATCTCGTCAGCGGGCATTTGCAAGCGGAGTACCGCATCGATCTATTCTGCCTTGCTTTAGCTTGCTTACTGCTCTTTGACTGTCCACAAGGCTCAGAAGACTCACAAGCGTGCCCAGTCATATGCAAGTGTCCAAGTGCCTTCTTCCGATGCGCTTATGAGCTTACGGTGCCTATGCTAAGACGCTCAAGACTGACGACAGGCAGTGAGCTATAAAGTGAGGTTTCTTACGCCCCCGCACAGACTTTTTGCCCCTCTCACCCCATCCACCACCCCCTTCTATCCACCCACCGCAACTTCCACATTCTACATTTCATCATCATGAAGTTCTCCGCCATTGCTGTTGGTGCTGCTGCCGTCATTGGCAGCACATTCGCCCAGAATGCCACCACTCCTTGCTCCAAGTACGCTGAGGCTCTCTTCGGCGCCAGCAACGGCACCACTCAGCTCACCCTCCTGACTGCTCTGGTCAACACTGCCGTGTGAGTAGACTCTCCCCTAGAGACAGCTTCGCATTCCTTGTCGTCCCATCTGCATCCGGACACGGGCGCATCGTCCCCGCAAGAGATTGATGGCAACCTTTGCCGATGTTTCTTCGCGTCCTCCTGGCTCACAATACCCACCCCTGGTCCTTTTGTAGCATCGGAAACTACTCCGCCGGCGCCATGAACGCCGTCACCGGTATCTTGAACCCCGGCCGCACCAGCACCGGCGAAGAGGTCAACCTCTTGGGTTACTTCAACGGCTCCATTGTCTCCACCAACCGCGGCAACAACGCCGTCGCGCTCAACTTCCTCGACGGTGGAGGAGCTGAGCCCCTGAAGCAGAACAAGCCTGCCAACGACAATGCCCGTGACTCCAACCAGTACAAGCTCTTGACTCACTTGTACCAGTACTTTGGTGCCCTCCTCGGATGCTCTGCCGAGGGCTTCCCCGCCTACCAGGGATCCGTCTCTCAGTCGGCCGTTCACCGTTACATGAACCTCAACACTGCTCAGGTCACCTACTTCATTGAGCAGGTCGGTGCCGCTGCCACCTCTTTCGGTGTCACCCAGGAGGACGTCACGAGCGTTGCCAACACCCTTTCTCAGGCGTTCAACGTTCGTTGCGCCCCCGCCATGAAGCTGCCCGCCAGCGCTCCCGAGGCCTACTCTCAGTCCGTTTGCGTTGCCGCTGACTGCCCTCTGGCTCCCAACTCCAACTGCGGCGCCGTTACCGACATGTCCTTCCCCAAC